TGTGCAGCTGTAGCACTCTCTCATCTTTGCCTCCCCTGGGCTCAGAATTCAGCTGACTCCAGCCCTCCTCTGGACCTCCTTCAGACCTGCACCTTCTGCTTCCCAGCTCCGCCCCCAACATTACAAGGTAAGGGGGGTGCACTTTTATGTTAGAGGGGGTTGGGACTCTTGACTTCTGATGGTGGGGGCTCTTGACATCTGATGTTAGAAGGGGTGGGGTGTTCTAGATATCTAGTCTTACAGATACAGCCAGCCCTTAGAAGGCAAACATAATGCTCACACACATGATGTGATTAAATTTAGTTTGTCACCCCTGATCTAATCCATTTCAATCCTACACTAAGCTTGGAGCCCAGTTCTTCACCACCCTAACACCAAAAATAACGAGCTGTCAGCCAGTTGTCTTGTGTCTGACCAAGGGCTCTTGTAGGCTTCCACTTCTGCTTCAAAATTGGTATGCTATTGCCCATTGGGAGTTTAAAATGGACTCCTATTAGGAATTTTCCCTGAATAGTGGAAAAGCGGGAAGGTCTGCTTAAGCTTCAGATCAGAACTCATGCTGAGTCCTGTCCTTCCCCTATCCTTATAGACAGGGAACCACATGTGCAACTGTGGTACATACATCCTTTGGTATTGAACCTCTATGCCTTTGTGATCACTAGCTGTAAACTCCAAATACTGACCTTTTCATTAAAATTCGTATTTAACCATTATTTTTTTCAAAATAAGTCCCATTATAATTACATTTTACAACATAAAAAAACAACTTTGAGGTGATAGCACAACCTTACAATAAATCATTTCTCTTTACAAATTTTTGTTCATATATAGATCTAATGTACACATATGGGGAAATTAAATTTTCTGTAAAATACAAGGGTCTCCCTAAAATCTCTTGAATAATTTAATAATTACAGTCCATTTTTAAAGGTTCCTTTTCTCTTTACTCCATTGATGGGATGGATCTCCTGCTTATAGTGTAGACCCTGTAATAAAAAAAATAAACAGTTTAATAATTAAAGAAATAAAATAGAACCACAACTGCTCTACTGTCCACATTTACCAGAACCCTAGGTGTGGTGCTTCCCTATACTGCATTGTAAAGGAAATGTGCACTGGGAAAAAATTAAGCCTGCTGGTACTTCTAAAAATGCTAATTATGAGTCTGTTATGCTATTTAAAGACTTTAAAGTGTACGTCTCTAAAATTAACTACTCTCACGACTCCCTTTTAGTCTTTTAAATTTTCCATTGAACGTGTTTTGTTATATTTGTTTGACAAATGGAAAAAAATACCTGTTGATCATGTCAGAAATTCAGAGCTAATAAATAAATATAATACGGTATCCAAATCTATAAAAACGACACCCTAAAGCATAAAAGTCTATCTTTCACCCTTGAATTCCGTTTTAAAACTACACAAATATACTTTATTAATGCTCTGACATTAAATAGAAATCAAAAACGCCTTATTCCCATGACTCCAAACCTCTGAGCAGCTTCCAGGAGTGTTTGGTATACTTTTCCCATACTCAAGATGGCCGCTCCGCTACTTCCGGTTCCTCCATGTGTGTCTCTTGACGCGTTTCGTCACTTCCAGGACTTAATCATAAGGGGTGTAAGAGCATTAATAAAGTATATTTGTGAAGTTTCTAACAGAATTACACTATATCCTTATCATATATCTTATATACATCTGTGGAGCATGGGTGCTAAGAGTACTATGGAGTACTAGATTGTAAGCTCGAAAGAGCAGGGCCCTCGAACCCCTCATGTATTGTTTTGTTACTGTATTGTCTCATGTACTGTCCCCCACTATAATGTACCGTGCTGAGCAAACCTTTTGGCGCTATATAAATACTGTATATAATAATAATAATACTCCTATTAAGGCCATGATGAGAGTACTTATGAGGCTGTGATGACATCTAAGAGAGTATTACTGTGAAGGTGTTTTTGGAGCTATACGAATATATCCCCTGCGGGACTACAGGCGTGTTTTTATAGTCATTTGGTAAGGGCATATATTCCTCACACTTTAGATGTACACACTGTATTGTCACTTGGATTATCTCAATTCACAGAGTGATTCACCACCATCACGGTTGTTACACAGTGTTCACTATCACTTATGTGGTCACGTTTTATTTGAAGTTGCACAGTGCATTTTTGGTTTATGAATTTAGTTTTTATTTTATTTTTGAGGATTGATTTAATAAAGGTAATGCACTATATGAGTTTTCTCTTTTTTTGAGGTTCACATTTTCCTTTGGAGCCATTTTGGAGGGCTCGGCAGCAAAGATTTTGGAATTTTTCCTTATTAAAATCAGAGTTTTGAATGACTTTATTTATGGACACTGGTGAATAATTCAATTCTGTTTTTTAGGGTGGAGATTATATGGACTTTCACATATATTTATTTACTTATTTGAGTATGTTTAGAGCATATTAGGATGGAATTTGGAAATTCAGAGCTGCCCTGTGTCCATTATTCTCATTACTGTTATCTCAAGTCTAATTTTCCCTCCAAGTTCTTATCTTAGGACTACAGTTTGAGTAGTTTAGAAGAAAGAATTGGCAAGGGATGACACTGCTCAGTCCACAAAATGCTGTGTGTTGTCAGACCACAATAGGTACAGTAATTAGGAACTGAACACATTTCTGGAAGATCAACAGGTATTTTTCTTTTCTTGCAGGTTCTTTAAAGGGATAAGACTTGGGGAAATGTAGTGCATTCTTAGCGGTCCAATGTCCAAAGCTGTGCAGACAGCTGGATCCTGTAGAAATCTTCATTGCAGGGATGCCCCATCCTCTTTCTGTCTCTGAACTGTCAGTGCTGCAATGGTTAACAGTTTAGGGTTTTTAAGCAGAACAGCAGTACAGATGGTCTGACGGGGACACATCCCCTTCTTCCTCCTCCTCTATTTCATTGATTATACTCTAAGACAGTCTGTGAATGGGGGGGTGGGGAAGATATCTTGTGACTGATCAGACTCACCCCTATTCACAGATCATGTAACAGGCAGTGTAATCAATGAAATAACTTCTTTCAATGGAGAAAAAAGGGCCGGGGGGGGGGCATTTCCCTGTTGGACTATCTGTACTGCTGTTCTGCCTAAAGACCCAAAGCTGCTAACCATTGTAGTGATGGAAAATCAGAGACCAGAAGAGGTCAGGGAGTCCCTGCAGTGAAGTTTTTCTGTACTGCTGTTCTGCCTAAAGACCCAAAGCTGCTAACCATTGTAGTGATGGAAAATCAGAGACCGGAAGAGGCCAGGGAGTCCCTGCAGTGAAGTTTTCTCCGTGGGTGTCAGGGATACAGGCATCCAGCAAGGATAATTAGATTAGTTGGCTGAACCTTAAAGCAAAGCTCCACCCAAAAGAGGAAGTTCCGCTTTAAGCCTTTGTCCCCTGCTCCCCATTAAGGATTGGAAGCGCATTTGTGAGGTCAGGCACTGATGTCAGACGAGAAGGCCTGGCCTGCAGTCTCTGCTCTACTTCATCCCAAAGGTGTTCTGTCTGGTTGAGGTCAGGACTCTGTGCAGGCCAGTCAAGTTCCCTCCACCCCAAACTCACTCATCCATGTATTTATGGACCTTGCTTTGTGCACTGGTGTGCAGTCATGTTGGAACAGGAAGGGGCCATCCCCAAACTGTTCCCACAAAGTTGGGAGCATGAAATTGTCCAAAATGTATTGGTATGCGGACCCCTTAAGAGTTCCCTTCACTAGAACTAAGGGGCCAAGCCCAATCCCTGACAAACAACCCCACACCATAATCCCCCCCGCCACCAAACTTTACACTTGCTACAATGCAGTCAGGCAAGTACCATTCTCCTGGCAACCACCAAACCCAGACATGTCCATCAGATTGCCAGACAGAGAAGCGTGATTCATCACTCCAGAAAACATGACTCCACTGCTCTAGAGTCCAGTGGCGGTGTGCTTTACACCACTGCATCCAACGCTTTGCATTGCACTTGGTGATGTAAGGCTTGGATGCAGCTGCTTGGCCATAGAAACACATTCCAAGAAGCTCTCTACACACTGTTGTTGTGCTAATCTGAAGGCCACGCGAAGTTTGGAGGTCTTTCGTTATTGACAGTTGGCGACTTCTGCGCAGCATGCACTTCAGCATGCGCTGACCCCGCTCTGTCATTCTACGTGGCCTATCACTTTGTGGCTGAGTTGCTGTTGTTCCCAGTTGCTTCCACTTTGTTATAATACCACTAACAGCTGACCGTGGAATATTTAGTAGTAGGGAAATGTCACGGATGGACTTATTGCACAGGTGACAACCTATCACGGTACCACGCTTGAATTCACTGAGCTCCTGAGAGCGACCCATTCTTTCACAAATTATTGTAGAAGCAGTCTGCATGCCTAGGTACTTGATTTTATACACCTGTGACCATGGAGGTGATTGGAACACCTGAATCCAATGATTTGGAGGGCTGGCCCAATACTTTTGGCAATATAGTGTAGCTCAATCAACCTTATATTTTTTGTACAAGCTAGTAGTCCCTTCAACCCACCATGTAATAGAGAGAACAAAAACCTATTTGAAGTTCAGCCAGTGTGACAACCATAGTTCTCTCCTGAGACACAGAAGAGTAACGAGCGTATCCAAGAAGAAACAGGAAGTATATTATCTGCATGATTACTAAGTGAAAATAAAGGTAAAAAAAAAAATAAAACTAATGCAGCCACACCATCTAAGAACTGGAAAGCTGCAGTATATGAAATGTTAGTTTTTGGTTTCTCTCATGTCAGGGTTTGCCTGTGGTTTCAGAATAAGAGAAAGTTTCACCTCTTTACTGCCAGTGAATGGCGTTCTTCAATTTCAGCATAAAGTATTTAATCCTATGCTTACAATTTCCTTAGAAACGAGTGTGTCTTTTAAAAAAAAATATTTTCAGTTCTCCTGCTTCATTAAAACAAATTTCCTTTATAGACATTTCTGTATTTAGAACAGGGAATACTGGTGAGTGGTATTTAATAGGTTAATTTGTCACACTGTACCTAGAATTGGAATTCTGCAGAGCCTTGCTGGATCTGAAGCATGAGCATTTGCAGTTGATAACTTGGTAAATGATGGGATTATACATTGCCGCCGATTTTGCCAGCAAAGTTGGTACCACAGAAAATTCAATTGGGACGGAATCCGGACTCCCAAAAGCTGACCAGACCGACACAACAGCATAGGGAATCCATGCAATGAGGAATCCGGCACAGATCAACATCGCCACCTGGTGGAGGAAACAAGGAGAACATGTTTGCATATTTTGTGCGAATTTCAATAGATATGATTTTTATGCATTATATTGTGATGTGTTTTTGAAGCACCCATTGGTCCATTTCCTGCTCCTTTGGTCCATTTCCTGCTCCATTGGTCCATTTTTTTACCACGTGTAGAAATGTATTCACCAGCCATTTCTTACTCTGCTTACGACCATTCACCTAATTATCTGTTCTTGAATGGGAAACATTTGCAGTTTATGGCCATTGTAGAATTTTCCAACTCAGATTACTTTGATACATTAATCTCTAGACTTCAGTCCAATTTTTTTTTCTTTAGACAGAGTACAGAAAGGTCTAACAAATTTTCACTATTTCCCTGTCCCTGTGATCCAACTACCAGCAGAGGGGCCCAAAGGCAGCTGGGTGAGTCAGATGTGGGCAGGGACGGTGATCAGCAGGGCCGGGGGGAGGGGGGGGGCAAATACTTGAACCGATCCCCTGTATGGCTTTCTCTGCAGCAGCTGAAAGCTGACTTCTCCTCTCCCTCCTGCTAGCATTCAACTGCTGCAGAGAAAGCCATACAGGGGATTGGTTTCAGTAATTGCCCCCCGGGTGCACCCATCACCCTCCCTGTGCACCATATGTCTCCCCCTGCTGACCAAGCCCCCCTGTGTACCCCCACCACTGCAGTGCTCCCGGCTTCCCTCCTCTCCTTCCCATGGGCAGATGCAAGCACACAGTAGGAGAGTGGGGGAAGGGTCCGGTAAATATGTCACATTTACCAGCCCTTTCCTTTCCTGAATGAACACAATGAGTGATCGGTGGTACCAATCACTGACTGTGTTCATTCATAACTCTGTGTGTGTGTGTGTGTGTGTGTGTGTGTGTGTGTGTGTGTGTGTGTGTGTGTGTGTGTGTGTGTGTGGGGGGGGGGGGGGGGGGGGGGGGGGGGGCTGTCAGGTTGGCTGTATATGGCCCCATGGTTTTAACAGCAGCCTTGGATACAGTCAAGCAGTGCTGGGACAAGGGATTGGGAGAAGGGACAGCTGTCCAGGATGCAGTGATAGGGGGGTGCCCCCTTACCAACCGGCAAACCACACCTTCAAGTGGTTCTAAAGGCTGAAGGTTTTTTACCTTCATGTATTCTATGCATGAAGGTAAAAAAACTTTCTCTGTGCAGTGGCCACCAATCCTTACCTGAGCCCCCTCCGATCCAGTGACATTCTCGACAGTTTGTCTTCCTCCTCATTGGCTGAGACAGCAGCAGGAGCCCATTGGCTCCCGCTGCTGTCAATCACAGCCGGTGAGCCAATGAGGAGAGCGGGGGGGGGCAAGCCGTGGTTCTATATGTCTTATGGATGCATAGAGCAGAGGCTCGAGGATAAGCACACAGTGGTGCCCCCAGGGCAAGTGGCTTTCCCTGGTGGCACTGTTCGAGGAGGAGGTGCCAGGAGCGCCATCGGGGACCCAAAAAGAAGAGCATCTGGGGATGCTCTGTGCAAAATCACTGCACAGATCACAGATCAGGTGAGTATAGACATGCTTGTTACAAAAAAAAACAAACAAAAAACCTTTAGTGTAACTTTAATGTCTTTTCTGTCATGCTTTGCTCCACTCTCCACCCTGTCCACCCACAGCTGACACAAGAACACACCACGCATGCGCACCTATCTTTTATCTGGTAAAATGCAAGCAAATGGCTAAGCATGTGCAGTGCACACTCCATGCAATCCATGGACACTCGAAGTAAAGGAGCAGAGAATGGGTGCAGGTCACTACACATATTCTATAGCATGCATTAGGAGCAGGGTAGGGAGACAAAGTTCCACCTCCTTGTCCTGGGCACTAGATGAACCTGTCCTGTTACTGCAGTCAGCAATAACTTAGGGCCCATTCACATCCCTGCATTGTGTTAACTCAATGCAATTTTTACCATGTGTTACTGCAAATGCACTGCAACCTGTGTGCTACAATGCACCGAATTGCCACTCATTTTAGACAGCACCCCAATAAAAACATATATCCATTAAAATCTGACTGTGCTTTTATACAAATTGCCACTAGAGGGAATATTCACAATCCTGTGGCTTGTTTGGCCAGAAGAGTTAAAGGATAAGCTCACCTTTTAACAAAAAATAATAAATGCACATTTTTTTGCAGGTAAAAAAAATGTGCATTTTTAAAATTTTCTGTTTCTGGAGCCTGGATCAGCAGAACGCTGGTGCCATGCAGGTCTCACCCTGACCTGTCAGTATATCTGATGATCAAACATCCCATATGTGCAAGCAAATACTACTGACAGGAAGGCTCAACGAACTACCACAGCGCTGTGGAGTGCCGTAGTAGTTCATTGAAAATCACAAGCCAACAGCCATAAAGGCTGCTGGGACTTGTAGTTTTCCCATTCACAGAATGCTGTGAATGAATGACTCTGCCCACCTGTCCGCCCATGTTTTTTTTTTCAAATTGTGACAGCTACAGAGGGGGGAGAAGATCCCCTGCTGGCTGTCACATCGGGCATCGGGGGGGTTGGGGGCTGGTCAGATCGTAACATTTTACACCAGGAATATGGGTGTAACATGTTAAGAAAGGTGAACTTATCCTTTAGAGAACATTTGACCAACAGAGAAAATAGCCCAACGCTATAGGCTTAGTACATTTAACCAGAAGAGGAAATAGTATAAGGTACTTAACTGTAAAAATGGCAGAGCTATTCATCATGTGAAACGCATGTACACATCATTGGATTGAGAAGGAGCTCAGGTAAGTAAGGGCTCTGGGAGAAGCAGCACACAGAATGTTTTTTACCTTCATGCATAGAATGCATGAAGATAAAAAACCTTCAGCCTTTACAATGACTTTAACCAATTGAGCTCCAAACGTTTTTACCCCCTTCATAACCAGGCCAGTAAATCCTGAATACGGCAGCCAGACTAATTCACTTTACCAACCGCTCCGTTTCCGCCACCTCCCTCTGCCAATCCCTCCACTGGCTTCCGATTGCACAATGGATCAAATTCAAAATCCTAACACTGACGTACAAAGCTGCCCACCATACTGCCCCAAATTACATCACCGACCTAATATCCAAGTACCACCCAACATGCACACTCCGCTCCTCACAAGACCTCCTTCTCTCTAGTTCCCTGGTCTCCTCCTCCCATGCCCGCCTCCAGGATTTCTCCAGGGTGTCACTCTGGAACTCCCTACCCCTGGTATCCTCTGGAACTCCCTACCCCAACCCATCAGACTATCACCTACTCTCCTCTCCTTTAGGCGCACCCTGAAAACCCACCTCTTCAGGGAAGCCTACCCCACCCCCTGCTAATTGCCGACCTCCTCCACTCTTCCTACCACTCCATCCCCCACAGCTATCTCCTCCTGTACCACTATCCCCTCCCTCCTAGATTGTAAGCTCGAAGGAGCAGGGCCCTCGAACCCCTCATGTATCATATTGTATTGTTATTGTATTGTCGCATGTTCTATCTCCCTTTGTAATGTACAGCACTGAGCGAACTGTTGGTGCTTTATAAATACTGTATAATAATAATGTTTTGCTTTTCAACACTGCGCTACTTTAACTGACAACTGTGCGGTCATGCAACACAGTGCACAAATAAAATTTTTTATAATCTTTTCACACACAAAAAAAAGCTTTCTTTTGGTGACATTTTATCACCACTGGGTTTTTTTTTTGCTATATAAATGAATAAAAAACAAAAATGTTGAAAAAAAAAATAAAATGGATAATTTCTGATGACAGCCTTTCTTGAGGTCCTAAAATGTCAGGACAGTACAAATGACCCCTTTTTGGAAACTAGACAGTTACAGTAGAGATGTTTAGTAAGCGGCATGGAAAGTTTTCTGAAGTAGTAATTTTTTGTCGCAATGTTTTGGAAAATGAATACATTTAAGAAATTTGCATGATTTTTGCGCATTCCTGCAACACACTTATGTAAACCTAGACTTACAGATCACTTGAGACAAACAATGGAGTTCTGTTTCTGCCAAATGATACCAAATCTGTATAGCAGTTCACTGTTGAGCAAAGGAATCTCCATACACATAACAGAGGTCTCCCTCATATTATTTCCTCTTCTGGTTGAATGTTCTTGGCCTATGGTGTTAGGCCATTTACTCTACTGATTGAATTTTCTCATGGCTTTCTTCTATAGGAATCAATGTTAGGGAAAATGATATTCGCCTTTTTAATGAGATGGCACAGGCCAGTAGGTCACCTTGGTCAGCTTGATCTCCAACGTGTGACTCTTCTGATTTCTGGTATCAAAGACTGCCACTTCCTGAGCAGAAGACTTGACTTTGACGATAATCTTTGCATAGGAGAACACAATGACAATGGTGGGCAGAATAAGGCAAAAGAACATGATGCTGATTACAAAGACCTTCCCTCTCAGAGAAGCCTGTGCCAGCCACCAGTCTAATGTACAGGAGGTTCCAAATGGTTCCGGAGCATAGTTCCCCACTCCCACCACTGGCAGAGTGGCCCAAAAGGATGCATAGAACCAGATAAGGATCAGGCTAATGAAGGCATGTCGTCTTTTCACCCAAGTACCTAAAAAAAAAATTAAGGTGCATATTTAGAGGAAACAAAAGAGAGAAACACAAACATTTTAATTTAACCATTTCAGTAACAGCTTGTAATACCCCATCATTACTAGGCCATTTTCCAGTTTTCACTACTGGAATAGTTTGACTGACAATTACACCATCAGGTAACATTACACCTAAATTAGTTAATATAACTTTTTGGAGACAGAGCTTTCTTTTTGGTGGCATTTAAACACCGCTGTTTTTTGGGTTTTTTTTTTTTTTAATATACAAAAAAGGGAAAAAAGACAGAAAAAATTTTTTCCCTTTCTTTCTGTTAAACTAAATATGCCAGGACAGTACAAAAAAATCCAAAAGACCCTTTTTGGAAAGCAGACACCTCAAGTGTGTTTTAATTGTTTGCTACAATTTTTTTTTAAATGAGAAAACATTCTGATATTGAGGAGGGGGTAAAAACAGAGCTTGGGAATGGTGTACTAGATACATTAAGGTTACATGCACACTGGGATTAAAAACACTCAGCACTTACAAGCGTTTGGCGTCTCTTTTTTCATCCTGTAAACACACCTCTAGGTTAGCCTGGATGCCCATGCACACATAGGTGTTTACAGATGGATTAGAACATTGCCAGTGTAGCACCCTCCTAGATAGCTAGGTGGAACTAGATCACAAATAGTGAGGAGGGCTCAGTAGCAGCCTGGGTGTGATAGCTAGCAGGGTCAAATTTGGGTCAGAGCTGAAAGGCTCTGCAGACTGGCTTTCTGAGACTTCTCCCCCTGCACTAGAACTTTGGAGAAAGTTCTAGAAACAGTGAAAAGAAGTAAGAAGTGGCTAGTCTGCACTCTAAAGGTATCCTGGCAAATTCCAAACAGGAGGCTTGGCAAGGGGCTGTCAGGGCAGGAGCAGGAAAATGGACAGGCAGGCCTTATGGTAAGGTTACGCACCGACTGGCGACAGCCACCACCCACAAACCGGAATCCCTCAGGGCGTGGAGTCTAAGCCCCAGGCTGCCTTTCACCAGGGCCCCTGATGGTGGGGATGGACTTGACGTAGCCTGAGACCAGGTCACGACCCCCGAGAAACCCCAGCTGTGGTAACGGCTACCGCAAATGGCATATAGCTGGTGGGAGCCAGATGGGAAGACGTATAGCGTGGTCAGACAGTCCGGGTCGATAACAGCGGAGCAGACAGTACAAGACGGTAGGCAAGAATACTCAGGTCACGGGCCGGGTTCAGCAACGGGAGGTCAGGTAACGGGATAAGGCAGAGAAATGTCTTGACAAAGCCAGGTCGGTTTCCAGTAGAGCAACGAGAGCTGAACAAGAGCTTGCGGCAATGAAACATACAGGACACGAATGCAAAGAGCAGCTGCAGACAGCAGGCTTAAATGTGATCAGCCACACCCTCCTGGAGGAGGAGGAGCCGCAGAGGCCTGAAAGCATAAAGGCTCCCACCTTGCTTTGCAGAAACCTAAGATGGATGCCAGCACATGGAGCAGCACAGCTCTGAGGAAAGGTAGGACCTTGACAGGGGCCAGGACAGCCCTTAAGAGTGACTGAGCCTGCAGGAGTCAGGGAGGGGGACCAGATGGAGATAGGCTCACCTACAGGCAGAGGACCTTGGAGGGAGGAAAGCTCAAGACTTCCCCGGTTCTAAGAGTGAGGACCACCTATGTAGCTTGGAAGGAGCGGCCCAGCTAGAAGGCCTGGTAGTTTCCACCGACCCATCAGCAGGATAGGAGTAGACCTACACCCCCTGGGGAAGGAGCACTCTGGTGGGAAACTGGATTATCTTACTACCCAGGACTGTCTTCTTTTACAGTGGTAGCAGGGGCGGACTGACAACTCATGGGGCCCCCGGGCAATAGGGGATCATGGGGCCCCTGTGTCTTTGCCCAATCTCATGCTCAATCATGCTCCTTCTTCAGACCTGAGCCCCAGTAGAACCCTGACATTTTTATAATGTGAAGGGAATGGGAGGGAGGCACGTAGTTCCTGGGTCCGAAGGACCTACATATTTTCCTGCATTGTACAGGAATTATATTTCTCCGAAATGCATTACCACCCCCTTCACCTCCTACATCCGACTCTGCTCTCCTAGCTTCATTTTTATGCACAGACACATCCTGGACTCTACTTCCTGATCCTATAGACAGATTTTGCTGCTGGACGGCTGGATGTCCCACCTGGATCTAATTACCACACGATGAGTCTCTTATAACTATTTATCTTGTACGTGCAATTTATCCATTGTTTACTAAATAAATTGGCTATACTGCACTTAGAGGCGCCTTCCTCTCTTTTTCCTTTATCAAATGCCACTAACCTGCCCAGCTCTGCAGATGCCATAGGAAGATATTACATGGCTGTTTCTGCCTGTCCATGTAAGTGCAATTTTATATTTCTTATGGTCTTTTATCTCTTTATGTTTGATCATTAAATTGACCTCTGTTTTCCATTTAAGCATTCTTTGCCCAATAGCTATTTATATACCTATTTTGAGTCCCTATTTGTCACTCTTGCTTTTCTGCGTGTCTATCACTCTCAGCAAGGGCCAACACAACTATGACTCCACCACAAGAGACTCAGGGGTAGACAAGATACTCTTGGATCCTGCCTCTTGCAGAATGTATTTATCTACCTGTGGGTGACACAACTCCCACCTAATTGTCTGTTGTACCCAGACGGTTCTGACTTCTGAGATACTTTCCTGACATTCCCCATTACTTTTGGTCATGACCATCTTTGTGCTTCCTCTAGCACCTACAATGAAAGTATAACCTCAGCCAGATATCCCCATTACAAAGGGACTTGTCTGACTATGGGGTTTATTTATGAAAGCTAGAGAGTGCAAAAATCAGGTGCACTTCTGCATAGAAAACAATCAGCTTCTAGGCTTTATTGTCAAAATTTAATTGAACAAACTGAGGCTAGAAGCTGATTGGCTACCATGCACAGGTGCATCAGTTTCTGTGTGAACCAGCTTTAGTAAATCTCCCCTAGTGTGTCATATTAATACAGTGTAAGAAGCTTGTGGCGGACTGCCAGGCACCCCTCCTGGGTGCTTCCATCAGAGAACTGCTTCCTCATTTCTGGGACACAGGACCAAGAAATTATAATTGGACATTGCACCCTCTTTACTGTTAACTCATAGAATTGATACTACACAGGATTTATACCACACAGAATCAGGTAAGAGCTTGATCACATTATCCTAAACAATCAAAACTGTAAACAGTAATATCATCAGTACATCTAATGAACAGCTAACATCTAACAGTGATATAATCAAACAGTAATCTGCTTAACAGCTAGCCAATCAACAGCCAGGCACCCAGGCCAGCCAGGAGCCTACCCCAGACAGCCCAGCAACAAGCCCACATCCCTGGATATACAAAGTACATTACACATGCTGTCTTTCAGGTGTTTGCCTTTCATTTGTTCCAGCAGTCTGAAAAAGTAGAATTAATTAATCTTAATAGATTTCTTAAGGGAGATTGTTGATAAATATTTGTGTCCCAAGTGGAGGAGCTTTGCCAACCCTGTCTACAAGAGGGACACCATATTTCCTCTGACCTTTAACCTGTACAAGATTATTATATCACCGGGCTGTTAACCTAAACACACAGGCAATGTTGGGCTTTCTTAGTGGAAAACAGAGCAAGCTTTGCAAATTGAGTGATGGGGGTGCATCCTTTATTTGAAAAATGAAAATGGATGCAAATAATTGAAAGGGAATACCAGGGCTGTTTCTGGAGTCCTAATAGACCAGGGGCACCTCTGGGCACACAAATTAAAATGTTGAGGGTCTGGTAGGACACCATGATGACCACTCTCACTCAAATCTAAGACCAATATAATCTTTTTTTAACTGAACAAAAATGAATGGGTCTATTGAAATAAATAATAGAAGAATTAAAAAGAAGATACAATGTTCCAGAACTGTATAACACATAGAAGTTTCCATATCTCAAAGAAGACCTAGAGCACTCAGTAGAGGACCCAGGGCACATTCCCTGGGGGCCAGGGTCTAGGAACACCTTGGGGAAATTTATTATCAGTTTATAAACTTTAAAATTGCTGAAAATAATAATAGCTGGTAAAAAAAATGTACTTTTCTATTAAAGAGATGGGCTCTAATATATTGCATTTCCAGTCTTCTCCCAATCTTGAACTTACCATATCTCAGATGGCAGATTTTCATGTATCTGTCAAAGCTGACCACGGTCATAGTGATGAGACTACCACAGCCAAAGAAGAAGCCAATCCATCCGTACCACTGACAGATGCTCCAGCCAAACACCCAGCGATGGCTGAAACTGGATATGATGCTGAATGGTTTTCCCGTCACTGTAACAATATGGCAAGTAATCAGTGATCACATAGCATGACATACAGCTGTATTCTGTTATGACAAAATCTTTTCATGTGCTGTAATACATTCATCATCTCTAGTTTATGTTCTTCCACTATAATTACCACCTCCCTAAACATATGCAAAGCAATTCTCTTAAAAGTCTTTTTTTCTGAGACTGTCATTCTGATCCTAAAATTACTGCCTGGTCTTTGATTGACAGGAAACAAGCACCCAGAGAGGGCTGAAAAATCTCAACTCATCTACTACGTGCATGGCTGCTGTTAGAAACCACAGGGCCACATACAGCCAACATGACAGGGCCCCCCTCCCCAAACAAAAGTACAGTTTACTATGCTTCAGTTATGAATGAACACAGTGAGTGATTGGTACCGATCGCTCATTGTTTTTTTTTATTCAGGAAAGTAAGGGGCTGGGAAATGTGACATAATTACCAGAACCTTCCCCCACTTTCCATTCTGAAGGATCCTATTGTGTGCTTGCAGCTGCCAATGGAAAGGAGAGGAGGGAAACGAACAGCACTGGAGTGGTGGGGGCACATGGGGGGCCAGGGCAGTAGAGGGAAAACGTATTGTACACAGGAAGGGTGCAGTGGGGGGGGTCAACTACTAGAACCGATCCCCTGTATGGCTCTCTGCAGCAGCTGAATACCAGCGGGAGGGAGAGGAGAAGAAGCCAGCTTTCAGCTGCTGCAGAGAGAGCCATACAGGGGATCAGTTCCAGTAATTGACCCCCCACCACCACCATACTGATCACCCTCCCTGCCCACATCCGATTAACTCAGCTGCCTGGGCCCCTCTTGCTAGCCTGGTCCCTGTACAGGAGGACTGGTGGTACGTCCTTATCCACAGCCCTGACTACGTGTCTTTTCAAGGGCAGTGCTTTTGCTAGTTAGTGAAGGAAAATAAGGATGACAGTCCTAGATCATTCACCCACAAAAAAAATTTTAAGTCATAAGCTACAAATACAGTAGCTGTTGACCTTTACAAACAGGCACTCACCTATCCAATGATCCATCCTCACCCAGGCTGGTTTCTTCACCAGTATTCAGCCCCTGATACTGGCATGTTAACTGTGGGCAGCCGGCTGTGACTCTTTGGAGCTTCACAGCTGGCTGCCCAATGCGCATGCACAAGCCCTTAGCGAATGGCCTTGCAGCCTTCTGAGACCTGTGACATGTCCCAGAAGGATGTAGGCAGGGAGGGAGGGAGGAAAACTTCCACTTGAATTGCCTAGTTGACCCAAGCAGAAGCGGGGAGTGGAAGGAAGTACCTGTCAAAAACCCACTCCCCCCCCCCCCCAAAATAAAAAAATAAAATAAAAAATTAATTAGTGCCAAAAGTTAAAGAGGAGGAAGAGCAGAACATCTCTTTTTTGGGTGAAGTTCTGCTTTAATAAAGAAAATAACTTCATGCACTTGGCATCCCCAGTGGCAAATGATACATCTGCCATGGCAAGGCAGTACTAACCGCATATCCCAAAGGCATGCAACAGCTATCTGTATAATTTTATTTAGGCACCAGAAAGGAGTACCAAAGGGTAGATCTCAGCAAGTATAACTGTGAAGGTCATCTTAAAAAATTACTTTATAGCAATGGGGGGGGATTTACTAAAACTGAGGAGTACACAATCTGCTGCAGCTTTGCATAGAAACCAATCATCTGCCAAGTTTTATTATCAAAACTTAATTGAACAAGCTGAAGTTAGAAGCTGATTGCCTACTATACACAGATTCTGTGTACTCCAGCTTTAGTAAATCCCTCTACCCTCACAGATTCACTTTAAACTCCCCTATTAATTACAGCTCTGTTTTTGCAAACATTGGTTTCAGAACAATATTTTATCAGTATAATTCTTCAATCCATTCCAACTCTGATGTGACTTTTCTAGGCATTACATGCACGCAATTTATTGTCTGGATTTACACACTGAGAATGCTGCTGGTAAACCAGCATTGCAGTTTATATAATGCTCATTAGATGGCAGTGTTGTGGTTTAATGGATGGTCTTTACATTTGCTGCAGATAAATAATTGATTCATATGTGGTGGCGCTCCAACATCAAATTGCCCATTGGCATCAAACGGAATTCTATGTAATTTAAATGATCGCAGATGGGAATTTGTCATTTTTAAGTAGGGATCTGCCGTGCGTGAAGCTCAGCGAACCAGTTTATTGACGTAGATTACCTTGCTGAATCATGCGACGATGGATGGATATACTTCTAGAGGCATTAATACATTTAAAAGACGATATGTATAAATATAAATGATTTAATCCAGTGTGCATTTTTTTTTTCTTTAAACCCTATATGGGCAACAGGTATCAATGTACATCCATCTTTTTTCTTCAGGGGGGTGTATATATCTGGTGAATAAAAATAAATGCACATACAGTATATTGGCAGAAAAAAATAGCATTTGTTATTTTTGGAAAATGAGCCTGCAAAGCAATGCAAGTGAGATCAGATCAGTACATGGCGGGTACAATTCCAGGCCCCTGCACACTCTTCCTCCAGTTCTACGTCTATATCACAGTACAGCCTTTCAGTCGGAGATCTGGAGGAAGTGTCAATGATTAGTCACAGCAGAAGCCGATCAATGGGTGCCAGCCAATCAATGAACGCCAGCACCCTTTTATCAGTGAGGAGAGTGACAGGACACAGCTCTGCCTATTTTCTGCTAAATTTTCTTTCCCTGCAAAGCAGGGAATAAAATCCAACACATTGTAAAATCACCACACTGTGTACACAAAACACTGGTTAGGCACACAGTTAACCCTTTGTTCATCCTAAATGTTTATGATGTTAAGTTTATCCAGTCAATATAAACTTATTGGGATTATTTTACCAAAAATATGTAGCAGAATACATGGGGCTAGCATTTAAAATATGTCTTAAACCCTTTCTCTATTACTGACTGCATGTATATCACTCTATGATGGAAGGTTTTACCACACCAAAGTCACTTGAGACAAATCAATATTTCTTTTGCTGCTCTACAAATCATTGTAATTGTTTTTGGATAATTCTGAAAACAATACTAAGCTTGGTCTGAAGGTAAGCACTAGGGAACACACTCATGGGAACACTGCAGGAATATTCTGCTGTGATATATCTATAAGCTGTGAAAATAAAGAAATATTGATGTGAGTCCTCTCAATTTCCTGGCTCCTGGGTAAAAGAATTTTAGGTCAACAAAACGTAAACATGAGGTTATGGATGTGTGCAGTATGCATACCAATGACTTTATCAGATCTCTCTGCCCAGTCCTTAAAGAGATACTAAAGCTAAAAATGTTTTACCTTAGTGCATTCCTTGCATTAAGGTAAAAAACTTTTTTTTTTATTTCTGTTTCCTTCCCCTTCCCTATGTATTAGGTATAGACTCCAGAGAGAGAAAGATATATTACCCGGTACAAATCATTAGTAAGATCTCATCTGGAATATGCAGTTCAGTTTTGGACACCAATTCACAAAAAGAACATTGGGGAACTGGAGAAAGTACAGAGAAGGGCAACCAAACAGATAAGAGACATGGAGGAGATCAGCTATGGGGAAAGATTAGAGGAACTGAATGTATTCTCTCTTGAGAAGAGGAGATTAAGGGGGGATATGATCAACATGTATAAATACATCAGTGGTTCATATAGTGAACTTAATTTCCAAACACAGAAAAGTTTCTTCACAGTAAGAGCTGTGAAAATGTGGAATAGACTCCCTCAAGAGTTGGTTCTGGCCAGCTCAGTGGATTGCTTTAAAAAAGGCCTGGATTAATTCCTAGATACACAGAATATAACTGGATACTAACAATTATAGGTAAAGTTGATCCAGGGAATATCCGATTGCCTCTCTGGGGATCAGGTAGGAATTTTTTCCCAGCAGGTACAAATTGGTTCATGCTTTGCTGGGTTTTTTTGCCTTCCTCTGGATCAACTCTGAGTATAGGATTATAACTTTTTTGGTTGAACTGGCAGGACGTTTGTCTTTTTTCAGCCAGACTAACTCTGTAACTATGTAACTATGTGAAGGGGAAGAGAGGGGAGAATAGGGATCCAGCGCTGTGCACGGCTGCATCTCTTATCCCCTCTCTTCCTCTTCACACAGCACTTGAGCAGCAGCTGGAGTCATTGGCTCCTGCTGCTGTCAATCAAATTCAGTGAGGAGGAAGTGGGTGGTGGGGATAAGTCCCATTGTGTGTGTCTATGGGGAGCGGCTCCATAGGCCTATCTCTGCAATACATGCACATTTCTCCATCTTTCCCTTTAAAACCACTGCGAGTATATAAAAATACCCGTTGATCTGCCAGAAATCTAGTAACCTTCTTACTTCCCATTTGGACTGACAACACAGTGCCTTCACAGCACTGACATTTCAAACAGTGTTTTCACCCCTGCCTGCTGGACTAATGAACTCTGCCTACCCCCACTCTTCTATAAATGCTCAAACTGATTTCTTTCCCAGTGAAACAATGCTTCAAGAGTCTGCCCACACATTGGGAAGAGGCACATGGGAGATGTAGTTCTGGGGACTTGAATGCATCAATAGGAACTGACCTCCCAGCAGCTGTCCCTGCAGGAATTTTACAAACCCGGTGATGAAATCACAGGAAAGTATAAAAACAGTTTCTCACTACATGAACGAGATCAATAAGAAAAAATTGTGCTGGGACATAAATCAGTGAGAGAGGGGGAGGTTTGGACGCAGCATCCTACAAAACCAGGCCTCTACCGCCAAATTCCCAGCCATTCCAGCAAAGCTATGGTGCTTCTTCATAGTAAAAAAAATATGCCTGCCCCTTCCTATCTCTTTCAAATTTATATTGACCAACAAGGCAGGCCATCCTAGTGATATGCTAATAGTAATATATGTGGCAGGGCTGGTGGGAATGGCAGGCTCTGACGCCATACACAAGTCTTGGAGCTTTGGCTGTCAGAATGTCCTTGGATTTATGTAAAAGAGCACACAGGAGGGCTCATATGCCTAGTGCAATACCGAAGGTTTATTGTATAAAACAAAACATGCAGGCAAATGGATACTCACAAAAATGAATATATACAGGTGTTGTATGACACTAAATCTCAATCCAGTGCAGGAATAGCATGGCCAAACACATCGTAATGCTGCACTGGCAGATGATGCGTTTCGGACAACGCACCTCCTCTTCAAAACTCTGGAGAAGGGCATATGTCTCCTTAAATGCATCAGTGGCCAGCACAGGATTATGATGTGTTTGGCCTCCGCTAATCATGCTCTGGATTGAGATTTAGTGTCATTCAATGTCTGTATACATTTATTTTAGTTAGTATCCATTTGGCTGTATGTTTTATTTTATACAATAAACCTTTGGTAATGCACTAGGTGTGTACACCTTGTTTGCTCTGTTACAGTTGTCTGCTAAATTCCCCAATCTGAAGAGGGCTGTATCAAAAATGCATACCAGAAGGATGCTATATAATTGCTTTTGATGATCCACTACACAAGCAGACTTTAAGGTAGACCTCTATGCACTGGAAGTGTTTATGCATTTTTTGCAATATTCTTGGATTTAGTTTTAACCTTGGGGTCTTAGAGATTGCCAAGGTCTCAATAAAGGTTTCAGTGAAATGCTACTAGCAGGCAGATAATTGACAGAGACTAGTGACTACTGGGACGTTGGTAAAGTTCCCCTTTTCCACACACCCTATTGCAGATATACTGCCACAGGGCAGCATATATGTGTGATATTGCACTTTCTGGTGTAGGAGGCGAGCGCGTGCCCCCAGCGTGCCGCTTCTGTTGTGATTAGTCACAGCAGAAGCCTATCAATGGGTGCCAGCCAGTTAATGAACGCCAGCACCCGTTCATCAGTGAGGAGAGTGACAAGTCACAGCTCTGCCTATGTAGACAAGGCAGAGCTGTGCCCTGTCAGCGTTGATCTGCTGAATTTTCTTTCCCTGCAAAGCAGGGAATAAAATCCAACACACTGCAAAATCACCACACTGTAAAATCACCACACTGTATACACAAAAACACTGGTTATGCACACAGTTAACCCTTTGATTGCTCTAAATGTTTAACCCCTTCCCAAACAGTGTCATTAATACAGTGACAGTGTGTATGTTTAGCACTGATCACTGTATTAGTGTCACTGGTTCCCACAGAGTGTCAGTTAGTGTCAGCTAGTGTCAGACTATCTGCCGCAATATCGCAGTGACACTATAAGTCGCGGATCGCTTCCATTACCAGTATATAGAAAAAATTCCAGTATACAGTATATACCACACTTGATAGACGGTATAACTTTTGCACAAACCAATCAAACCAATAGACTTATTGGGATTTTTTTTACCACAATTATGTGGCAAAATACATATTGGCCTAAAAGAAATTAGAATTTAAAAATGTTTTTGTTTGATTTTTTATAGCAAAAAGTAAAAAATATTGCTTTTTTTTTCAAAATTGTCTTTTTTTGTTTATAGCACAAAAAATAAAAAACCCAGAGGTTATCAGATTATCTATTTGTGGGGGAAAAAAATACATAAATTTAATTAATGTACAGATTTGCATGACCACGCAATTTTCAGTTAAAATAATGCAGCATTGTATAGCAAAAAATGGCCTGGTCATGAAGGGGGGTAAAAATTCTGGAGGGCAAGTGGTTAATAAAGACTCCACCCCTCTGAGTGAAGGCAGCTTTGGCTTATACTAGTCTTTGATCCTGATTCAGTGATCCAGAATGCACCTGGCCAAGTCATCCCAATTCTGTGCATGTGCACTGAGACCCCATTTAATTGTATGGGTAGCCATACTTGCGGCAGTCTCCAGCGGTTGCCCTGAGTGTGGTTCTCCCCATAGGAGTGAAAGGATCAAATAAGGAGTAGATGACCAAGTCCATGCAAGCAGTAAGAATCCTGAATTGAGTTTAAAGGTAATATATAAGCCCAGGTTGTCTGCACTTAGGGTGTTTGGGGATTTCATTGAAGAACAACCTCTCCAAAGAGGATGCACTTTAAACTGCATGAAAAGATCATGTACTGTGTCCAAATGTTGCAGACTAGTAATTGACATTGGGAGTTCAAATCCATGAATCCATGAATCCATGAATGTTAGAGGACTTCAATTGTACTACAGTAATACCTGTTCATTACTATTTTTAAAACCGGCACAACCAATTCAAATTCGAATACTCGGGTTGAGATTTAATGGCTCTCGCTTTTACCTGATATTCCCAAGTCACTAAATGCTAAATTCATGGTCATGATCTCAGCTGGTCTGAGCTTCTTTTTTCTTCTACATGCCATCAGCAATACATAGCCATTTCCTAAAGTGGAGAGGATACCTGTAAAGAGAAACAGAATGGACAAAAGAAATAAGACAAGTGTTGCAAAAAGATGACTCTCCCTATTTTAGATCAATATCTAGCAATCTGGGCTACATTGAAATCAAGCTCCCATAGCATACTGGTCATAGAAATCAATTACAAAGTTATGACATACTGGTATTTAATATATTTAGCAATGGGACACTCCTTGGTTCTACTTGGATACATTTCATCAGGGAAAGGGCCAGAATCCATTACACTTTGCGACATTTTGGAGTCTCCAGGCCTGCCTTCAGACACCTGCAAGGTGGTCTGGAGGAACTTCTAACATCCTCACCAACAGGCACAAAGACCTGGCATGGATGGCTATCCAGGGGGGACTGCCTCTCAGGACAAATCAGTTGCATCAACCCATGACCTAAAGTTCATGCAGCCATCACTCACTGTGGAACTTTTTCTTTGGACATTGGGTTTCAAGGACTTTATTACTCCAGCGGGGAGAGGATGTCCATCGAGGACTTGCCGCAGACTGATCCTCAGTCTGCTCAGAGACTATTCCTTGTTGGACTTTAAGGAGGAAGAGGAAAGATTTCCCCCTTCCCCCTACTCCCCCTTGCGTGTCTTTGTCCCTTCAATAAAGCTTCGGGCCTGTGTTTCCCCCCTCCCCTCCCCTTATACCACACCCGATATGCCCTATTGTTGATAGGTTACATCCGGGAAGAATGTGTAGTTATCGTTTTCGTGCATTGACATAGTGACTAGGAAATGTATAATCGTATTAGGATGCTACAGTTTTTGGGGTAAGCGGCGTCATGCATGACGTGGTGATCCGGGGGATTCATCCTCCGTGCACATCACGTCAGGCATCAAGAGCGAATGTATTTATTGGCCTGAATGTATTTACATGTTTGGAACTGTATTGCTATGTGGTGCGCTGCGTCGCAGTAGGGTGAGATGTACCCCGATTACACGTAACATGTTGTTTTTGATGCTTATGCAATACTGGTATTTAATACTCACCAGAATCCTTCACTTTGTATCTGGATGCTCTCTTCAGTGCGAACAACTGGGCACATTTTACCAAATTCGGTGGATATACCCAGTTGTAGGCACGTGGCACTGTCCGGCGACCACTGTACAGAGGGAGCAGATGGCAAGGGAAACCCATGTTCCTCTAAGGCCCCCATAGGTGCCATCAGGAGAGCAGCTGTCTGATTGAACACTGCTACCTTTGATGTACCCAATGCTAATAAATAGCATTGTCCCCTTTCAGTTGGCGCGCTTTTCGCAAAGTGGTTAGGTAAGGGACAGAGACCCTGTTGGCTAGGGACAGATTGTCTAGTGAAGGGAAAAGTTCTAGTGGAGGAAGGACAGAGTAGGGATTGTCGCAGGCAGTAGCCCTTGCTCATTCAGGTGCCTTGTTGCTGGTCTGCCTTTCAACCACCTCCTCTGTAAGATGCTGTTAGGTATCAACAATGTGCATGGATATCTTCTGCACAGTACCTTGCAAGTGCTGTAAGGCCAGTGTGGCCATGTATGCAGATCCTGTACCACTTTCTCAGTATCCTCACATTAATATACTTTTCTGTATTAACTGATCTCTGTGTGAGATCTCTCCTCTTCGGGTTTCGAGAACTACACCTTGCCTACACAGTGGCTCACCAATAATGGACTGATGTTTTTTCTTATCTCACCATGGTTATTGGACACAAAATCCCTTCCAGAGGAGAGAACACACTCTCCTTCTTGTCAGGCCAACTGATCTCTTCTAAATTCTGTTCCAGCACATGGTCCATGTCCTCTAAGTAAACGATCAGTAAAGCATTAAGGTACACCTAGAAAAAAGTACATATCTCTCAGAGGTCTTTTTGAGACATTTATTGGTTAAGAGCATCAAATACACATTACAAGGGAAAGGCCTTCTCCTTCCTCAGGGCATGATGGGAATAGGGGACCTCTTTTAGTGACTGTTAAAGACTGTCAAATCTTAACAGCACTATGAACTGCATCTCTTTCTCTCGTGATCAGAGAGGTAACAGCCTAGAACAAGAAAAAAGTCCACCAAAACTATACCATCATCAAGCTTCTCTTTGGAACTGACACGGGCCTTTAGGGTTGGTCTGACCATGGCCCTTTTACTGACTCCTTCCTCTTCTGCATTCACTCTCCCCCCAAGGTACTTAACATGCAGTCCTTAACCCTTTTGCTGCCAGAGCCATTTTTGCCTTTTTTGCACATATGTTTAAAAAATTATTTTAGGCCTGAAGATTACACAAAACCCCCAAAACATATATTTTCTGAAAACAGAGAATAAAATAGTGGTAGTTCCAATTGTTTTATGTCACACAATATTACCACAAAGGTCTAGGAAATGCAAACTTTTATAAAAAAACACACTAAAGTATATTTTAGGGCAAACAAACGCAGTAAGTTACCCTAATTTAAAAGATGAGGTTGTGCCAAGTAAATAGAACAGCTTATGAAACACAAAATTTCAGAACAAAATGCACAAAAGTTAATTTTAGAGCATGTACAGTCTTGGCCAAAAATATTGACACCCCTATATTTCTGTCAGATAATGCACCACTTAACGCAGAAAATTGTTGCAATTACAAATGTTTAAGCATTCTCAGGGCAAACAAATTCAGTAAGTTATATAAATTTAAAAGACGAGGTTGTGCCAAGTAAATAGATACCCAAACCTTAAATTTATGTGTGCCTATGAAATGGTGACGAACTCTACAAGACCCTGCATGTCTCTTTTGGCCTCCATTCAATGTATTACAATGCAGACTGCAGTGCAATAAATTGTTTCTCGAACGAGAATGTGACAGCTGTGACCCGGAAGTGACATCACACATCACCTTCCTGGTCACACAAATATCCCGCTCTCCTCTTTCCCCTGAATCTGCTGGCATGTGTGTACGTGAGGGGCAGTATCAGGGGCTGTATAAGCAATTGGCCCGTAATGCGGACACCCAACTGCTTCAACCTGACAGGCAAGAGTCTGCCTATGACATTTATAAACAATGGCTGCAGCCATCGGGAGGCATATAAAACCCTGTGCTGTCAAGTCCGTATTAAGTAAATCCTCCTTCCCCGATCAGCCAATGGGCTTTCCCTCTATTTCTCTAGTTTCATTATAGAATATGTAAACCCAGCATTTCATATTCCTGATATGTGCTTGCTGTACCTTGTACTTGTATTACAAAGTATCCTGTTATCTTTGTTTTGCATCATTTATGTAAAATCCCTGGTGTTACTGCCAGTCCGTCTGACTAACTGACCACACTGAGTAGGAGAACACACTGTGGTCAGTTCTTTAGCTATCCTGCTCTCTTTCAATGATGACCAGAAGGAATGGGATCACTTATAAAAAAAGGTATTTATAATGGTTTTTTTTTTCTATACATATATGTTTTGCATGTCATTTCTGATTTAAGCGGAATGGGTTGTTTTACAAATGAAGGGTTTACAATCACTTTAATGTCAGCTTTTCTCAACCACAGTTCTTTAGAACCCTAGGGGTCCTATGGAGGTTGCTAGGGGAGAAATTTCTGCCTTTCAGATAAGTAACCACTGAAAACAATGATTTTTAGGCTATAAGGGGGGACTCATCACTTATCCCGAATGTACGGAGCATTGTTTTCCCAGTGATCATCATGTTAATGTACTATAAACTGTAGATACAATAATTAGCAGAGATCCCTAAGACCAGAAAGTTATTTCAAGGGATTCTCCTTGTTAAAAAGATATAGAATGGCTGATTAATGTTAGCAGTAACAAGTTGTATTTCTGTTGAATTAGGAAACATCTAGTAGGTTGAATATACTATTTGTATTGTTATATGCTTCAACTCCTGTTGGTATTGTGTACTCTATATCGTTTGTAACAAAATGTAAATTTAATAAAAAAAACTATTGAACCATAAATCAATATCCAGTCATGTAGACTGTTATTTTTGCAGTATCTATCCTTGCACATGAGCAAAAGATAATGCCAAAATATCATCTACTGATGAACAGCTATACAACTAGAGATCGCAGCAGATATTTCGATAAGGGACTCTTGCTGGAACATAATGATGAGTGATGCATGTGTGAGTGCAGAGGACCTAGAATCACCTCTACTAACAGAAGCAGAGCATAAAATGGTGTATTAAAAGAGGCTACTGAATACTTGAATTCACATTTATGACTGTTTTTAAGTCTTGCAGATTTGCAGTATACTGTATCTATAGAGGTTGAGTGACTAATTTTGAAGCAAAATTATTATTTTTGCCTTAATTTGTTGTTGATAAACCTATTGCAACCCAATTAATTTAATACATTGCAAATGTTTGATGAATTGTCTTGATTTTTCGTCAAAATGTAATCAAAGTGAAAATTCCAAATTTAACTCATACCTAGTATCTATATTTAATGTTAGCTATATTTAACCACTTTAGCTCCTCAGACTTTTTTTCATTTTTTGCACAAATGTTTAAAAAAATAATTTTAGGCTTGAAGATTACTTAAAACCCCCAAAACATTATATACTTTCTGAAAGTCGATACTCTAGAGAATAAAAGAGTGGTAGGGCCAAATTTTTTTATTATTTATTTATTTCAGGTACTTATATAGCGCTGTCAATTTACGCAGCGCTTTACACGTATATATATTGAACATTCACATCAGTCCCTAACGGGACAAAATCGGACGATTTTTTTTTACCGTTGGTGGTAACGTCAACCTATTGAACAACCGATTTTTCGGGGTTTTTTTGTTTTTTTTTTAAACCGCTGGTTTTCAACCCATCTATGGCCTGCATAAGGCTCCATGTACACTGTAGCTGATAAAGTTTAGGAGCTTTTCTGCGTTTTGTTCAGCAGCCCCTGAACTCTCCCTAATGTTTTCCTATGTGTCCATGTACACATAGCCGTTTACAGGCAGTTGAGTTTACAGTCGTTTTTTGCGTTCAGGAGTAGATTTGATCAGCGTT